TGCTATTGCAATGGTGCGATGTATAATAATAAAAAGTGTCGCTACAAAAAATATACTTAGGTAAAATTGAAAACTGGTTTTTTAGACCGATTAAATTGACAATGGGAAGAATAAAAAGATGTTTTAAATTTTTAAGCAATAAAATCAGTATGAGGCAGAATAGTTAAAACTTTGACTTCTGCCAATTAAATAGTAGTTCTGTAAAATATTCATGATATATATTATAGATTTAATCGCTTTGGTAAAATTTACAATGCAATAAATTTATTAGAGACAAATTGAAACGAGTTATTAGTCTTGTAATTGGGAAAATAAATTATTTCTATTCATCAGGCAGCAGTTATTTGTTAGCAAGTTTCATTATTTTTAGGTTAGTTTAGCGTTGTGTTCCTTAATGAACTACACAGCTAGTTTTGCTCCAGATTAGGTAATATTATTATTAATAACACTTCTCATCTGATGAGCCATCAGCTTCTTTGCCATAAAGGTGCATAAAAAAATATATATAATTATAGACAATTAAATATATATCTCAGATAGGCTTCGTATTATCAGAGGAAGAAGGCAAGAATATTTGGAATCGGCCCTCTTGCAAGAGACGAGTTACGAAAGTGGACGAAGCAAGATATCTGTGTAATTATATAGGTCAATGACCTTTGGTTATTACTGTCTACCTCATAAGAGACATATCCTGAAGATACAAAAGTTAAAAGTATCTTTATTTGATATTTAGATTCATCTCTACTAATTATTATAAATGTAAATTTGAGTTTTATTGTTACCTTTTAGCATTTTAACTGCTTAATCAATTGTCATGACATTTAATACATACGATTACTTGACATGGATAAGAACATAGGCTACTATTTACTTATCGGTATATCCCAGTCCCGTAAACAAAGTCGCTGGTAAAAGCGAGTAATAAATAAATTATTCGCACGACTATCAGATCAGCGGTTTTAGTCATATTTAATATCTGATTGTCGATTACAATACAATCAGAATTTAATACTGCATTAGTGTACAAAATATTCGAATAAATAAGCTTAAAATTGAACAGGTGTACGAAGACTTTTGTGTAATCAGCGACCGCAGCGGGTGTCCGGCGCGTTATGAACTCTTCAACCTCTGTGCCCTCAAACAGCGCTTCCTTTACGACCGAGGAAATCACCTCAACCTCTACGTTATCTTTAACATTAAACACCTGTTCTATATTGTGCGTATTTTCGTTTATTTCTGCATGTGATTTGTTTACGTGTTTTGTATAGAAATCTTTGTAAAGTATTATATTTGTAATGATATTATTAGATATGTTTAGATTTTTGCTATTCAATTACTCTTGATTATGATGTACCCTCGAGGATAAGGATAAAGGATATCTTATGTCTTATTAATACTCCTAATCTTAAGTCTTACTTCTATATGATGTAAGTATCTCTAATGTAAATAGAAGATTTTAGATTTTCTATAATTCGAATTTTTATAGCAACAGACAATAATATTAAATTAGATATATTTAGTACGCGGTTAAGTTTGTTTCAGTAAAGCCCCAAAGATGATCTTTCTTTTTATAAAATCTTTACATTTACTAAGATTTACTACTAAAACTTTTGTTTGTAAATTGTCACAGTATTGTATACCGCTCTATCTGTTAATATTGATAGGTACTTCTTTTCATTTTGGGTTTGCTAGAAGAGAACTCTTGTAGAAATAAGCTCGCCTTTGTATACATTACATACACATCAAATTTCATTTAAATCCATTTAGGTCTCGTTTATTAGTTATAAATATTATTAATTACCTTATTTATTAGTTATATCTAAACATGCGAACATTTTTCAAACTTTCACATTTGTAACTGAATGATTTGTTGAACACAACAAAGAATATTGGTACAGCCATTTAAAATTTTAAATTGCATTTTCCCATATTGACCTGTATCAAAATTAAGAGGTTTTTAAAAATATCCATAAGAATAAGAAAAATTGAGTACACATGTAAGTGAAATTTTAGTCGCAAAAATTTGTTTTTTGCTTTGTTTATAGAAAAAATGAGAAATTTTTTAGAGATAAATTCTCTCTGCGAGTACTATAAACCCAGATAGTCAAAGGTATTTTGTCACTGTTGCCAATGTGGTGAAAGTAACATGCTATTTGTCCTCATTTTATTGAGCATATTCGAATCCAACATGGCAGGGGGTAAGCTGACCGCTGTTTTTCGGGTCAATTAAATTGGTTAACAGTATTTAATATATTATGAAAGCTGGTCGGAAATAGAATTGACGTGCAAAATTTTGGTGTCGCCCTAATTTGAGTCCATGAATACCAGAGTATCTTACTTAGGCTGTTAATTGTCAATAAGATAGTTATTTGTTAATAAAAATAAACTTTATAATACATTTATTTTATAATAGAAAGAAAGAGAAAGAAAAAAAGGCAAATAAAAAGGTAAAATATTCAAGTTGTTACTGCTAATCAATATGGAACCTTTTGAGTCTGAGTTGTTGACTGAGCCACGATTTGTTTTCAATCTTATCTGCATCATAAAAAACTTTTTAGTTAAATATTAATCAATCAAGTTTTAGTACTTGGACACTTTTTTTTTCTATAAAATTAGTCAAACATGAGCAGGGGCATAAATTAGAGAAAGAATGAGGCTGACATGTTATTAAGATCAGAATAGAACTTTTATGCTCAATTTTATAGAACCAACATTCATTTACAAGAAATAAAATCAACAGATATTTAAGATATGTCAGGTATCGTAAATTTTGTGTTTTGTTACGTAACTGCAATATACTCACAGCTCGTCCCGTCAATAAAATGTAGTCACCAAGTTTATTATTCTCAATATGGCTTTTGAAGTCTCGAACATTGTCGCGTATACATCATAAAATGGCATTCAAGGCTCATTTGATTTTGAAACGGCCTTGACACGAGCAATAGTTTTAACATTTACACATTTGTTTCCAAATTAGAATCGCCTAAGACAATGACTTCTTTTTTATTATGAACATCATTTGCTCACTGCTGAACAGTACACAAAGAAAAATACTATTCATCTTTATAGGTGAAAAAAACAACATTGTCTAAAACGGAAATATTATTTTTTAAATTATTTATTATAAAGCAACTATGGTCATTTAGTATTTTTAATTTTATCTTATTCATAAATTGATTCTTATTACTTTCTCTATTTAATTACTATCTGTTTAGTAAATATCGAATAAAGTTAACTCGTAAAGTTAACCATTAATTTTATAGAGCAGTAAGAATATACGCGAAAAAAAAATAAATGATATTGAACGGTCCCATTAAAATTATAATCCAACTAGTTAACTTTTTAATGCGTTTAAAGACCCTATTCGAGGTCGACTTAAAATCATTGTCATCTATATCATCAATCAACTCGCTATCTATAAAACAATAACTGATTTTATTAATTCCAGTCTAATAATACACTATTACATCTAGTAACTTTATATTAAGCTCAATCGTCAACACACTTAGACTAGTGCCCTTGGCGAGTCCCACTAATGACTTACCATGATTAATGGTTTTACTAATTACACTTGTGACAATCAATGTATCTTTATTGAGCTTTTTGTAGTGGCCACTTATATTAATATTAGAGATTTTTACATTATTAATGAAACAGTTTATTGCTTATATGAAGATAACAGTATCGTATTTTTGAGTATTGAGCTACCTTCATTTGAAAATATTAGAGTGATAAACCTAAAATAAAATGCAAGCGTTTAGTTAATTGATTTAGATTTTTTTGTAAAATATTTGTAACTTCTGAAATGACTAGTGAAATGAATCATACTATATTTACAAGATAAAAGTGATAATTTACATGAAAGCAGTCGATAACTGTTGTTTATCCGAAATTTGATAAAGTTAAAATTAATAATATTTTACTAAATAATTACAATTAACCACTGCCATAGTTGTAAATTTCCCTTAATATAATTAAATAAACGGAAATACTACGAATATATTTGTAAACTTTTTATTTGATTGGTAAATTAATTTTGTCATTATATGATGATGTAACGGTCCATCAAGTCCCAAGAATCACCAGTATCAATGTAAGTACTAATTTAATTAGTTTCATAATAGTACTTGCTTTAATATACAAGTAAAATACTTAAAAATGGTTTTCCATAATCTAATTTCAAGTCCTTGATTGGTAATAATAAAATTTTTTTTGAGGAATTTTTTATCTGTATGAATTAAAGTTGTCAATCATAATATACAGAAAGTTAAATCACTTTTATGAAAATTTTAGTAAAATATATGATTTTTTTTAAATCTAACTACATATATAAAATGTGATCCACCAGTAGAATAAGACTTCGTATCTTATAATTTTATATTAGAGGCTAAATTAGATTTAGCTCGTGAATTAGTAAATACTCATATTTATGAAGACATATTTTACAAAGGTACACTTGATAAAAGTAAATTACATCATAAAACGAATTATATTAAAGTAAATTATGTTAAGATTTTATTACTCATATATATGTGATGCATTCAAAAATGGAATTTATATTACATAATAAGATATAAATAATTGTCAATGTACTGAACATATTAGACTCCCTTTTGTAAGACAGCGTGAAGATGTAATAACATTACTATAAGAACCGCTTTGTCGACACTTAAATTCCAAGAAGCAATTAAAGTAGCAATAACGAAAGATTTTAAGCACGTTCGCTGAGTAATGTCGAGGCTGTAATATTAAAACTTATATTACATAGTACTTACAGAGTAGCGTAAAGTACCGGTGAACAAAAAGAAAACTTTAATAACACGGGTTTTAAATGTCTCAATATAGGCATGGACGTTAGTGTTGGTTAGTTTATTCATATATTTGTATAGAATAAAGCCAAATTTTAGTTTGTTATTAGAGTTTTTAATTTTGAATAAGAAAATTCCATGGGAAAATGTTGCCCCTTTGTTTTTTTTTATTTAATATGTCACTGAACTCACCTTCTCTCCTCATGCCCATTTTGAGACATTTCCTCAGTCTGCAGTATTGGCACTGGTTTCTATGATGCTGATCGATTGGGCAATTCCTGTTGCCCCTGCACGAGTATGTCAGGTTTCTCCTCACGGACCTCTTGAAAAATGATTTGCAACCTGTGGGAGAGATTTTGATATATGAAATGTATGGTGGTTCTTTTATGATGATTAGATGCTTTTGATCTTTATTGAATTAGAAACAAACTGGATTTCACATTTTAATGATTAAGACTCTCTATAACTTGAACTTGTTTTAGTTGAAACTGAAAAAGTTTTGAATAAATTAATTTGTTTCTTGAGCATTTGTCCGAAAAATAGAATAAGCAGCAAAACAACAAATAATAATAAAATTGATAAATATTTCCCTTGTTTTGTCTATCCATTAAAATAGTTTATAGGCAGTAGTAATTACTTGTTAGTTAAGCTTGTTAATACATTTAATGCCATTAGCATAATCCCATATATCAATGGCTACTCGATATCAATAATTTGACGATTCGTATGGAAGCATCAAATCGAAATGAATCTATGGAACAGTTAAAATACCAACTTAACGATCTAAAGACAGTTAAAACCACTATCATGAATATATTAAACGTAAACATTATAATAAGAAACAATTTTAGTTAAACAACAGACTTAAAAGCATGTAAATATTTAATTTGTTTCATGTTTATTTCAAAGGCAATAAGATTGGAATTAGTATGACAACAAAGTGACTGAGAGCAAATTAAATTTGGCGGAATGTGAAAGAATTTGATTATCATTAGAAAAATTATAGTTATCAGAATCGCAGTAAATTATTTAGCAATGCCAATGGACGTTATATAGATGTAATCATTTATTAGAAGTTGTCACGCTAAAAAGATGTAATCACAATTTTTACTAGGAAAGCCTTCATTTTGTAGCCATTAAAAGTTTTGTTTCAGATTCTATGAAATAATCAAATTAATAAAACAATCATCATTGTATCAGCCTTTAATTGTCCACTGCTGAACATAAACCTCCCCCTTGGGGTTTTGCCAATAGTTGCCACGCTTGGCTGGCGGATTGGCAACCGCAGTTAGGCTTTACAGATGTTTTAAGAGGGATGCTGCTGCCCATCTCTCGCCCTCCCTTAGTCGGTTCTTAAAACACCCACTGTAAAGGAAGGGGTGGCCTATTCTATGCCAAGACCACAGGGTTCATTATTAAAACAATACAGCCATAAAATTGTTGAAAATACAACATTAACCATATAAAATATGGATGTTATTATTATTTCTTATAATTTTAAACATTAAAATACTATAATATGCATATTAAGAGTTAGTGTTATTAGAATAGCGTGTTTTACATTAAGCTCCTCACTTGCATGCTTGTACCTCGTTAAGTTACACGGTTATAGTACTTATAATAGTAATATTTTGAATTTTTATAAATTATTATGTGAATATTAGAAATTTGTTAACATGTTGCTTCATTTAATTAGAATACTCAGGAGTTGAACTCTGATTTATGAGACGTAGTCACGATTAGGTATATTCGGTTTGATTAAAAATATTTCCAAAAACCAATCGAATAACGGGCGACAGTACCATATACTTAATTATTGATTGCATTTGGAAGTATTACAACTATAATAGAAAATGCTAATATTATATTAACAATTTAAAAGATGAATATTTATTGTTGATATTTGATTTGGACAGAACAATATGTTTCCTGTTTTTTCAATACGATATCTAGTCATGTTTAGCATTTTAAAGTATCGAATACACAGATATGAGTATTGTTTATAAAAATACAACAAATTTGGTGACAAAAGTGGAATATTTTCGTATTTTCTGAACCTTTCTTAAGGTACCGTTAGCAAGGCTTCGCTCACGTAGCAAGTGAGATAAGGTGAACATACTATATGACTTGTTGCATACGGCGCGGTCGAAACGCTCGATTTGTCGTAATATGAGTATATATTTTATACAGTTATGTATCTCAGTTAGTTCTTTTAAATATATTCTTATGATATAGGTTTAGCTATAACAGTGTCCCTCTAAAAATATCACTAAAACCTAACTCGGTTGTCAACAAGCCTTTTAAGCGAGGCAACTAGTAGGAAAACCCCATTAATAGGGGAGGCCTACGGCAATAGACAGTTAATGGCTGCTATAATGATGATGATGATGATGATATAGATTTATTTTTATTATAAGTGACTTCCGAAAAAAGTGGTTTGTCTTATCATGTAGATAAATGTGACATAAAAATTAACATCTCAAAAAGACATAGATACAGCGACTTTCAAAAGAAGCCGGTGATTTGAACTGATTACAATTATTAAAATTCTATTTTAAAACCGATATGGTTTGCTTATTTCTTGGTGTCATATTCACTTTGGTATAATTGAAGCTATTAACTTTCTTTCCGAAGCAAACTCTTGCTTGTTGCTGAACAAAATTTAAAAATTAGCATTCTAAATTTAAATATGTATTTTAAAAAACATTTTATCGTTTTCGTTTTAAAATAAGAATAGATTTATAATCAATTATTAAATTTGATATTATTTTATCTACTTTTTAGATTCTCGATTAACAATACTATTCAATGATATTGTTAGTATCAGAATAAAATTTAGAATGTGATATAATTTATCAAATTTCAATCTAATAAGAAAAAAAAACAAGTTATAATATCTGTGTTATTAAGCATTAAGCGCTTCAAATAGTAATTACAGTGTAATCTTTTAGACGCCTCAGAATTAGCGTTTGAACCGCAGCGTTCCTCGGCGCGCGTACTCGCCCTAGCCGGGAACACAGTCTCCCAATTACCACTATCGCTGGGAACATCAACTCTTGCAAATTGTATTCCACAGATGATAGCGAGTGCATTGACACGGCGCCGGTATGAAGTGAAACTCGGAACAATGGTAGGGACGAAGATTATTCTAACTTATAAATATACTTTACTTAGGTATAAGAGAAGATTGTCACTTTCTATTTGTTAAAATATACACTTGCTGAAATAGACCCAGAAGGAGTAAGTAGATAAATGTTGCTACATAGCTATATTTTTCTAAGTATATACAAATCCTCAAAGTGGTCCACGTCTAGAATGGGCTTCCCCTTCCTTTCCCGTGAGTGTAGTAAAACGCAACTAAGGGAACTTGCCAAGGAATGAGCGGCAAGCGTCCCTCTCAAAATATTACCAAAGCTTAACTGCGATTGCCATACCGTTTGTTAAGGAAGGTTCAGCAATGTGTAGTAAATAGCCGATATATTATATACGCCGTCAATTTTTTATTGCCGAACATAGCCTCCCCCATAAGGGGGGTTTTGCAATTAGTTGCCAAGTTTGGAAGACAGGTTGGTAATCGCAGTCAATCTTTGGTGATGTTTTAAGAGGGACGCTGCTGCCCATCCCTCGTCCATTAAGTTTTTTTTTCCAATATACTAATACTAAGTTTTTTATACTAACTTAGAATGGCAAACAAGCTGACGGCACACTTGATGGAAAGTGGTAATCGTCACCTATAGACATGAGCAGTACCATAGACATAACAGAGTACACTGTTTCGCCCATGATACCCCCCATGCGTTGCCATTCCTGAGGACTCAGGTGTAATTCCTCTGTACCCAGTAAATTCACGCCATATCCCACCCTTCAAACCGAAACACAGCCATACAAACACAACTGCTTCACGGTTAAAACACGAATGGGACAGAGGTACCCAAGCAATCGACTTTTGTACAAAGTCTCCCTCTGGTTCCCTTAGTCGCCTCTTACGACACCCACGGGCAAGGAAGGGGTGGCCTATAGCATTTCTTCTTCGCTTTTATATAAGTCCACTTTCAATTCGATTTTGATTTTGAAGTAAAACAAAAGAGATTATTATGAAATCGGAAGCTGTATGAGTCGGTCGTCTCAACAAGAGGTCACGTATAATAAAATAAAAGTCATTGATGTGATAATCTCGCGTGCTACGTTTATTGGCCGAGTGACCGCTAATGGTGGTAAATTGCAGTTGCCACTCAGCAGGTCACACTGACCCACATAGCAGGTGTAACGTCACTAATCGTTTAGCCCATTGCAAAACAACAGGTTTTTAATAAAATAAAATTAAATGATCCAAAATCGATTGTTATTTAAGCCCAGTTTGGATAAATGGAGAGTCTTTTTGATCAGATTGGTACTAATTTTGTTATATTTTTATAGTTTTTTTTTTAATAATGGACGGTTTATTTAATTATTGCAGATCCTTTATTCATTACTCAGACAGTCATTATTCTACAATACTATTTTAATCAACCAATGCATGTCCACCTCTAGTGATGTCCCATATCCACTAGTGATGTGATCTTACAACAAATTTATAGCTATTGACTGTTTAATAGAAATTAATGATAAATTAAGATTGTATTAAAAAAAAAACTACTTTAATTGTGGCAAAACCAGTTATTAGGATATAGATTTAAAAACTAAACTATTAAAATAATTTTAGTAAAACTTCTATGAGACCAATTCCTAAGTATATCCTTACAAAAAAAAAAAAGATCAAATTTTTTAATTCGGTTTACAACTGATTGAGTTATAAGGTAAGAAACCATAAAAATACAATTGAATTGAGTACCTCCTTTTTTATAAAGTCGGTTGAAAATGTATACAAATGAATATCTGATCCAACCATAAGACAGTCTACTGATATCCTATGGTAGAATCGGAAATAGTTTAATTGATTAAACGGTTCGATCTATTATTAATTTTATTTAGAGAGTATTTCTGTAACAATTTCGACAAAAATTTAACGGTTACCTTTTTATTAACTATTACTATTACAACGCGGTTTCCACCTGGAAATCGTGATTAATTCTTGACGAATTCTTCGCTATGGGCCGAGTGACGTTGGTGCCAGCGTATATCGACAGCGCAGGCGGGGTTCCGTTTTCACACATAAAAAAAAAATAATAACTAACTCCCAGCAAATACTCCTTTCTACTACTACTGGCTATCCAGATCCATGTCATTACATTTGATAATCTTTGAAACTTCTTAACCGATTTTAATAAAATTTTGTAAATATGTATTGTTTGTATCAACTTGAGAGATAGGTTATTTTTTCCGATCAGACAAAATGGATATAG